TATCTCAATCTATGCTATAAAAGTGTTTGATGAAGTTCAATCATTTTGTTTTGTTTTTAATTCTTATGAAGTGAAGAATAGAAAGGAACTTTTTAACTTGAAAAAAGTTATATACCAAACTCTACAGTAAACATTATACTTTACAGAAAAAGCTTAGAGGCGCTCTTTATCACTGGGACAAAGGAAAGCATGCCAACTACCAGCCCTACTGTTTAACAGTGTTATTACTGCCTGAGGGTGTAAACATCTACCAAGAAAAATCATTGTTTTCTCATTATTGCCTGGTGGTGTAATCATCTACTTAGAAAACCCAACGGAATCAACTATTGGAACTAAAACAAGAGTTCAGCAAGGATTGTAATTACAGGATCAAATTACCAAAACCAATATCATGTCTCTACACTAGCAATAATCAACTAGAAAATATAATCAACAATAAGATACTATTTACAAAAGCATAAAATTAATTACTTATCTAGGACTCCCTAGGAGAAGCAAAAAGTTAACACACTCAGCTGCTAACCAAAAGGTTGGAGGTTCAAGTTCACCCAGAGACCCCTCGGAAGAAAGGCCTGGTGATCTACTTCCAAAAAATCAGCCATTAAAAACCTTATGGAACACAGTTCTACTCAGACACATGTGGAGTCACCATAAGTCAGGGTCAACTTGACAATAGCTATTAGAAGATCTAAAATTTCTATGGTGAAAAACTTTCATATGCTAATAAAGGACTTTGAAGATTATTTAAATAAATGCAGGGATGGGATGATCGACTACTGTAAGTATTTCAGTTTTTCTCCCATTTTAACCTATCACTTATATATCAAACTGATCAAAACTCCTATTGGATTTTTGAAGGATTCCAAAAAACTTACTCTAATATTTATAGAGAATAATGAAGGCTAATAAATAGCCAAGTCAACCTCTTAAAGAGGGTTCAGAAGGGAAGGCAGATACTTGCTTTCCCAGATATTAGGCAATATTACAAGGCTATAGTAATAACAAGGAGCCCTGGTGGCGCAGCGTTTAAGAGTTCAGGCTGCTAACCAAAAGGTCAGCAGTTCGAATCTACCAGCCACTCCTTGGAAACCCTATGGGGCAGTTCTTCTCTGTCCTATAGGGTCACTATGAGTCAGAATTGACTCATCGGCAGCAGGTATAGTAATAACAAAGAGTGAGGTAGACAAACAGACCAATAGAACAGGATAGAGAGACTCATGTACATACAGGAAACTAACGTATGATAAAGTTGGCATCAAAATCTATGGGATCGAGAAGGAGAGGGTTGACATGTCATGGGATTGTTAACCAATGTCATAAAACAATATGTGTACTACTGTTTCATGAGAATCTATTTGTTCTGTAAACCTTCACCTGAAGTACAATAAAAAAATTAAAATATATATATATATATATACGGGAAATGTGTAGACTGTATAGGTGGTGTTGAAAACTTGACTCATTATATAAAGAAAATAAAATTGGATCCCTATCGTGTAACACCACCACCACGTGTATGTGGTCAAAGACCTAAATGTCAAAGCTAAAACTATAAAGGTAATAGAAGGTAATATAGAATATATTTGTGAGTTAACATCTGAAGCACTTCTTAGATTAAACTTCAAAAGTACAAATCCTAAGGCAAAAAAAGTGCCTTTGAACTCATCAGTAATAAGAGTTTATGTTCAATGCAGGACACCATGGTCAAAGATAATAGAAAGATATCAGAATGCAAGATATTTGCAGTATCTAAAGCTGACACTGGAGGGTCAGCGAAAAAAGAGGAAGACCCGCAACGAAATGGATTGACACAGCGGCTGCAACAGTGGGCTCAAGCATAACAATGATCGTGAGGATGGCACACGACTGGGCAGTGTTTCATTCTGTTGTACATGGTGTCGCTATGAGTTGGAACCCACTTGATGGCACCTAACAACAACAAAGCTGACAAAAGATTAAATTTAGACTATATAAGGAACTCCTTCAAAACAACAAGGGTGGAGGGAACCAACAAGAAAAACTGGCAAAATATATGAAGAAGTAATATATAGAAGAGGAAACTCAAATGACTAAAGAATATGTGAGTAGACATTCAAACCCATTAGTAATCAAACAAATGTAAGTTAAAACAGAAACAGCAAAGAAATGTCACTTCATACCTGATAGACTGCCAAGTATTAGTTAGTTGTTGGGTATTTAGTGATAGAGAGCTCACAAGTACTTATGTTAACAGTGAAAACTGGTGCAACCACTGCAGTGTGGGAGTATTTATCAAATTGGATATACACACAAACTATGATCCAGGAATTCCCTCTGAAATTATCATATAGGTTCCTATGGGAACATGTATAAAAATGTTTACTGCAAACTTATTTCTTGTGTGGAAAGTTGTCAGCAATCTGGGTTAGTCAGGTCTGTTTTAGGAAGGTAAAGACTAAGTTGTTATACAAGAGATCTCAAAATACAGTGAATCAAACAGAATAAAATATTTTCTCTTAAGTCCAGAGATAACTGGCTAGTCAAGAGTGAAAGGCCCAGGTTCCTCTATATTGTTGTTTTGCCATCTCCCAGGAAATTGTTCACTTAATCACCATGCAACCCTCTCACATGGCAAAGACTGATTAGTTGCTCTCCATATATCCTTCCCTTCTACCTTTCAGTAATTGAACTTTCCTATGTTTTAGATACATGGATGCTCATGTAATATAGAGACTACTTTTCCAAGCCCCATATTGTCAAAGCTGGGTAACAGCCAATGAGCTAATAATTGTTGAAGCAGTGTGATGGATAGAGGGGTTATTATGCTATTCTTTATACTTCTGTATATATTTAAAATGTTCCCTGGGTGGTGCAAACAGTTAAACATGTGGCTACTAATGGAAAGGCTGGCGATTGGAACTCACCCAGAGGTACGTTGGAAGATCTGCTGCTGAAAGGTCACAGCTATGAAAACCCTATGGAGCGCAGTTCTGCTGTGCAACACATAGGGTCAACATGAATCATAATACAACTCAAAGGCAACAGGTTTATTATGCTATTTTTTATCCTTCTGTATGTTTAAATATTTCCATAATTAAAAGTTTTTTCATCTACTTAAATTGCATTAAACAAAAGAATTAATTTGGGGATAACATGATAAAATTTTATTTTCTTCTTTATATTATTACTGATCTTTATTTTTATCTGATTTTATAATCATAAGTAAGATTTAAAACATAACAAAACATAAAGGAAGGAAGGGGATTCCAAGCTTTAGAACCAGGAAACCTTAGAGCTGTTTATTTTTATCTTTAGAAATTATTGGCCACCCTAGGGCCATTGTTGTATGATGCAACCCACTGAAATAACAATGATACAGGGGAGGAGGAGTTAGCCCTGGAGAACCCATCCTGCACTAGAGCAAGCTGCCTGCTTAAGGGCCTATCCCAGAGCGCTTCCTCACTCTCCAAGGTCTAGAGCTGGGATCAAGACCCTCTGGTCATCGTTATTTGGGAGGCAGAGTAAAGAAGACTTCCTCTTGGCCAGAAAGACTATAGGAATATTCCCTTGCTCAGCAGTTCCACCCCTGCATCCTCTAAAGAAAGGACAAAGTCAGGGGAAGCCCACAGAGCCCCGCCCTTATCTTTGGATTTTGCTGCAGTGTTAGTATGGATGCCATACAAGTATCCCCCGCCCCCCGACAGCATTTTTTGGTGGCCAAAGGAGACAGGTGAAGATAAATCTTCTCATTCAAATTCATCTTCTCCTAAAACTATCCACTCTGGAAACCTGTGAGTGTACAAGCCGTGAATAGGGATCAGATCCTCATTTATAATCTTTCTGAGTTACCCATCAAGGGGAGTTGGCCACTTTACCTTCCTCTGGTCTAGACTAAACCCTATATCTGTCCATTTTACCAGGTGTTCTTTTTTTCTCCCCTCCCTTTTCTGGCTTTCAGCATCCCTATGAGTGCATAGAAGAGGGCCCAAGTCTGACTTGGCTTTATCCAAATCCACTGGCCCAACCCAGAGAATAATCCATTCTTTACTCGTTTCCCCCATCTAATCCCAGATAAGAATTTCTAATCTGGAATGGACCTAAGAAACCACCTAGTTTTTCCAGATTTTTTTTATGGACTCTGATGTTAGGTCTTGAGATTACAGTAAAACCAGTGGACATCACAGATTCACAGAAACCCTGGGATGAGAAGGTCTTGGAATGACTGACGTGCACAGCCTTCCCTTTCAGACTAAGGGTCTGGCTTCCATAAAACCAGGAAACTCGTGTTACTTCTGCTTAGGTTGACACAGAGGGGAAGAATGGGTTTCTATTTAGAACTATAGATACCCAAGGAAGCTCATTTCCCCATCTTTAGAGTTTCTAAGTTGAAATAGATCTTAGAAACCATCTGCCTTTCCCAGATTTTTTTTTTTTTTTTTTTAATGAGATGACTGAAGATTGTAGGATCAAGGGACTTACTCACAAGCATACAGTGACAGGGAAAAAAAACAAAAACAAACCTTACCTTACACCACCGTCAGGTGTCTCAGTAAATACACCAATCAATCAATCATTCAAACATTCATTGAACACCATGGTCTATCTGCCAGATAGTTTAGCCAGAGTGCTTCGCTCATTCATGACGCCAGTCAGTCCTCCTGTGGTTTAAGCTCTGTTCCTTTTAGAACTGGAGAACAGCACTTCTCATTGCTCTGGAGTCTATTCCCAACTCCCTTTCTTTCCTTTTCTAGTCTGAATAATTCCTATTCTTTCCTCTTTCATTTCTAACTCTGATTCTCTACACTCTTCCTCCCCACCTTCTCCATCTTGGCCAATAGATTACTGCACTGAGCTGGGAAGGGCTCATGAGGTGTGACATGGCAGGGCTGCCTCTGCTACATCATCTGTCCTGGGTCAGCCCTGAAGCTTTACTCATGGTCCCTCATCTCCAAGCATGTTCTGAAAGTGATGACCCATTTGAGTGTTCTTTTCAGCCCTTCTAAAGGGAAACTTGACTACTCATGGAAGTTAGCAACGTAACCACAGTCACTGCATTTGTTCTCCTGGGGCTATCCAACAACCCTCAGATCCAGATACTACTTTTTGGGCTATTCCTGGTGATTTACTTCTTGACCCTCACAGGGAACCTGATGATGCTGCTGGTGATCAGTACTGATTCCCACCTCCATACCCCTATGTACTTCTTCCTGAGTCACCTCTCTTTTCTGGATGCTTTCTATTCCTTGACCATTGTACCTAAACTTCTGGAGAACCTTCTTTCTATATGGAAGACCATATCCCTCCTTGAGTGTTTCACCCAGATCTCCTTGGTCATACTTTCTGGAGCCACTGAAGCTTGCCTCCTTTCAGTCATGGCCTATGACTGGTTCCAGGCTGTGTGCCACCCTCTGTTTTATGTGGTGGCTATGAACAGGAGGGTATGTACTGGCCTGGTGGGGGCATGCTGGGCCATAGGAATGGGGACCAGCCTGATTAACACCCTCGTCTTGACTCAGCAGTACTTATGTGGCCCCAACTTCATCTGCAGTTTTGCCTGCGAGCTTCTCCCAGTGCTCCTGTTGACCTGTTCTGACCCTTACACTAGCACTGCCTGTATCTTGACCAGCATGTTTGTCCTGGGCCTGGGCACCCTTGTCCCATTGCTGGATTCCTACATCCATATCATTATGACAGCTCTGGGAATCAACTCTGCCAATGGTCGGAGCAAGATCTTCTCCACCTGCTCTTCTCATTTCTTTGTGACCACCGTCTTTTATGGTTCAGGACTTTTCAGGTATGTCATACTATACCCTCTGAATGTAAATGTGGGGTATTCTTCACCCTAAAGTGGTCTTGGTCTTTAGAACAGAAGCGTTGCAAAGTAGCAGAAAAAATAATTATACTGGAATTCAAAAGACTTGGCTTCTAGTCCTGGCTCTGCTGTCAACTAGCTGTGTGACTATAAAGAATCGAAGTTCTTTCTAAACCCTCAATTTTCTACTCTGAAAAATGAGCTTAGACAAGGACTAAAGCTTTTTCTCCTTCATTAACCTATGATTTGGGAGTTCTAAAAAGAAAATCAGAGAGACTTTGGTAGATTTTTATTCAGTGCTAGACAAAAATATAAAATATATCATCTTTGATACAGATGCCATCTTTCTTTCCCATTGGAAGATGAAGTCTCCAAAGCTCATATGTGTAATAACTATTTATTAGGCACCTATTATATACCAGCTGCTTTACATGGTCAAGCTCAATTTTAATATGTATCACACTAAAAGAGAGATACTATTAACCCTATTTTCAGATAAGAAACCTGAGATTCATAAGTGACCAGGTAACTTCTCAAAGGTCCCACAACAAGCCAGTAATGAAGCCATCATTTGAACCAAGTTCTCACCAACTTCAAATCTCATGCTTTTTGAAGAAATGCTTCTTCAAACATAAACAGCTCTCTAGCTAAAGAGTCCTTCCTTACTAGAAGAGTGAATAATTAATGCCTGTGCTCTCCACTAGTGAACTGGAGGTGGATTTGCATAAATTGCTCAATACTTTTCTCACCTCCTATAAGGAACAATTAATCATGTGTATATGGGGGGAGAAAAAAAGTCTTCATGTTATTATCACAACTATTATGGAAAGATGACTTGGCAGGAAATCAGAGGGTAGAAAAGGATGGTAAGAAATGGTCCAGGAGAGCTCGCCTGAGCCTAATGGAAGAAGGGCTCACCAGCTACAGGCATTCCTGCAAACAAATCTCTTCATCTCTCTTTTCCTCATATTCCATAAGAGGACAATAAGATTTCTTCTATCTACTTCATAGACCCCTGGTGGCACAGTGATTAAGCATGTGGCTGCTAACCAAAAGGTCAGCAGTTCGAATCCACCAGCCACTCCTTGGAAACGCTATGGGGCAGTTCTACTCTGTCCTATAGGGTTGCTATGAGTTGGAATTGACTTGATGGCAACGGATCAGGTCTGGTCTATCTACTTCACAGAAGTTCTAGGAAGAGTAGATTAGATAATGAGGAATGACAGTAAAATGGATATCTCTTTTGGCCAAACACACCGAAACCGACAAGGAGCATTCTTGGGAGAGTCTATACTTATTCCAATGATGATGGTGTCACTGCAAAAAGAAAAATTTATTTTATGATGCTTCTTTATTAAATACTTTCAGTGGCACTTAACAAAATGAACCAGAAAATTTAATCTCATTATTTTGTAGACATATCTTGTTCAACACATCTTTATCTCCCTCTTTATTTCAGTCTTGGCTTCAAATGATAATTGGTCTTTTCCAAACCAAACTAAAAGGACAAGCTTTTGTTCCACTAGACATCTTCAAAATAGTGTTCTAGGATTCTGAGGGTAATTCCCAGAACCGTAAATGTTGGGAACAACAGCATCTTCGTTAGAGTAAGCATACAGTTTTGCAAACAACACTCATCTCAAGATGAGGACATAGTGTGATGTTGCTGTCGTGTATATGGGGGGAGGTGAAAAAAATCCCCATATTATAATTATAACTATTATGGAAAGATGCTTTCAAGAGTATGAAGTGCTCCAGAATGCATGAAATTATTATTGTTAGTTCTATTCTAACCTGCAAACTTTGATATCCCGCAGAACTTCCTTTTTCCCCAAGGGCAGTTTCTGTAACTTTCTGCATAATGTCACTCATGTTTAGAGGCAATTTGAAGGCATAAATGACTGACTTATCACTCATAAGACAGTCATTTCTAGATACTTCCACCAGTGATAGTTGACTCAGTTCTAAGGACTCCTTTTGTACAGTCTCCAGGATGGGATGGACCATTGCTGCCAACAGTATTGTGGCTGTTGTCCTGAGCTCAGTTCGCTCCTTTGTGCAATTCCCTTCAAGGTACATGACTCCAGCAGCTGGCTCAGCCCTGGAGCAAGTGCTCTCTGTGCAATACAGTGTAGTGACCCCGCTGCTAAACTCCCTCATCTACTGTCCAAAGAACCAGGAGGTAAAGGCAGCTCTGAGGAAGATGCTGGTCAGGAAGTCCAGGTTTACCTTCTAGCCCAGGCTCCACTATCTCACCAGGAGGAAAAGTCCTGGTAAGAAGATGAGGCAGGAAGAGCTATCACCACTAAACTCTCTCAGCTTTCATCCTAATCCAAAACAGTAGTCTTCGTTTCTCTGTCTCCAATGTCCCCTGAGTAAATCTCCACAGAGCAGGTAATACCCACCCACAAGGTGCCCAGTCACTACACAAGAAAATCCTGAGGGCCTCACTGGCCATTTCTACAGCTATTGATTTTTTCTCTTATTTCTTGTCCTTTCTCTCTACTCCTCCCCTTTCTGCCACTCTCTATCCTTTTTGCTTGTGTCTATGAAGTTGCACAAAGTGTAAATCAAATGCCCCATTCATTCTGGAAGCGTACCATCTTGGGCACCACAAAACCCAACTCCCCCTTTGTTCCCATCTCAAAAGATCCCTGGAAAGATCCACAGCTCCATAGTAACTTAAAAAGAAATAAAATAAGTGTGACTCCTCCTGTCTTCATTCTTAACAACTAGCTTCTGATGTAGAGCCTAGCAAATAGCAAATCCTCAATAATTGTTGAGAAATTAAGGAATGAATGATGGATTCATCTAAAGAGTCCTTTCTCTTGCATGGTCACGGGAAATGGAAGGTGGTGAGTATCTCCCTCTAAGGCATAAGCATCTTGAAAGCAAAACCCCTATCTAACAGCTTCTGTATCCCCAGTGTCTAGTACAGTCATCACATAATAAGCTGTCAATTAGTGTTAGAGAAATGAAAATAATGAATGAATGAGAGAGAAGAAAGAGCGGAAGAAGGAACATATGTAAAGGAAAATTTAATTTTATCCAGTAAAATTCCTGCCTTTGCAACAAGACATGCATTAGAGAAAAGTAGCAGGGAAGAGAAATGAGGATAAAATAGAAAGAGAATCCTGGGTTCTCCTCACACAGGACTCCTCACAATGGTCTACACTCTGACAGCCCCTGCCCTAAGCCACCCCAGCTCCCACCTTAACCTGGACCCTTTCCAGTTTCAAGCCTGGAGGAAAGGAGTTGGAGAAAGCAGGACAAATGCTCAGCTGCCACCCCACCACCAGTTCAGCTCCCAAGACTGTTCTCAGGAATAGAACAACAGCAGTTTCCTGTCCTGCTTCTACTCGAAGCCAAGAGATCTGCACCAGTCAAGACTACTTCCATGCCAGCAACTTGGCTTCTATCTATTCTTGATCCTCTGACCCTCAGGCTAAGGCCCTCTCTACAAATAAATCTCATCATAAGTTTCCTTCAGCAAAGGCCCCTTAAGATCATGGCCTCATATATGGGTGTACCAGTCCTCACAGGTGGAAATTTATCGTCTCTGTAGAATGGACAGAGCTGTGGGGCTGAGCAACACAGCCCCAGCCTTAGTTGCATTTCTGCTCTAGTCACTTGATGGGGCTGATCTCTTCTATTTTCCACAGCACATGGCTTCCTGCTGGTGTAGCTGAGGCAGGGTAATAGGTAAGAAGTAGATGTGTGAGTTCAGTGGGAAGAATGGTAAGGCAATCCTGACCTCCCACATATACCCCCATACACAGGGTTTATTCCTGAAACCCTGTAGACTTGGAGAAAACCCTTTTGTCTCCTAATTAAGAAGGGAATAGCATGCAATACCCCTGGGAGAGGCATCACATTGTGTTTAAATTCTCACTAAAATGATATGACTAATACCAAGTTATTTCCTGAGAGTTTATTTTCACTAGGTATAGGGGAAGGATGGGGTTCCTGCCCCTTGCCTGACCCTACAGGTCCCTAAACAGGCCATGGGGGCTTCATATGGGGGCCATTGATCCCTATAACAGGGAAACTTGGTCTGGTTGGATGAAGTCCCAATGATATGAGGGGTAGGAGAAGTGGAATCAGCAATACTACACCTCTTAGAAAGGCAAGGAAGGCAGAAAGAAGATGCAAATTTCATTCCCAACTAATTCAAAAATGTGGTAAATTAAATTGGAGTTTTGGAATGCTAGACTGTTGAAGTGGGAAGAGATCTCAGAAAGCCATCTAGACCAAAACTCGCATTTTAAGATACGGAAACTGAAGCACAGAGGACAGAGATGACCTCTGGTTCATGCCATTAAGAGTAGAAAAACAGACTTTAGGATGCAAATTTCCTGACTCTCTGCTTTCACATATCCTGTAATTATTAGAATAAATAAAGTCTTACAAACTTCTCTGTAAAAACTAGCAAAGCAGCAAGGAGTAATATAGTGCAGGGTCCCAATCAAAAGACCCAGATGCTCAGATTCTTAAGAATTACTGAGCTAACTGCAAAATCCCCCTGTTCTAAATCTAGTTTCAGGATAGTCACTCTCTCAGATTCTCAGTAAAAGGTATAAACTTATTGAAAGGACAACAAAATCACTCAGCCCCCTCAAGTCACCCATTTCAGATTCCTGGAGCCCCTTCCCATGCTGTCTTTTTCCCACCCCACCTGTCAAAATTAAACCTATACTTCAAAACCAGCTTAAGTTCCACCCACTTTATGAATCCTTTCCTGGCCCCTTTTTCCTGCAACATCCCAAATATAAATGATGTTTCCTCTTCTAAATGATGAGGGCACATTTTTAACCTCTCTCAAGATGATGATACTATGATACTATGATATTAGTCCTTGTATAATAACTATTTATTAATATTTATGTTTACTACTAGTCCTTGAGAGAAGAGACCCTTTTAGCCAACTTTGGATTCCCTCTATAGTTCTTTGACTATATTAGTTGATCAATAAAAGTTTGTTGAAATAAATTGATACAGAAAGCAACCCCCCTTTTTCTATTATAATTTCAGCCACTTTCTCTTCAGTAGAGATGAGAGGTAGCTCTGACCTATGACTCCTGTGTCCACCAATTCACTCTGTTTCTTCCCTTTGCCTACAGGAAGAAAATACAACCAGCCACTCAAAGTCAGGTCTTTTATTCAAGACAGAGGTGGAATTCATTTCTGTAGAGAAAAATCCATCAGGAGCACTGATCAAGGATCTGAATTCCAGTGTACTAGTCACACATCCCTGGAGAATAGTCCTCAAAGTCCAATGGTGTCACTCAGGGCCCAAGGCTCAGAAAAAAATCAGCTTTAGAAGGGTAGAAGGAAGTAAACTGAGGGATCCTTAGGGAAGAGGATTTCCAGGAGCAGAGAGAGGGCAGGAACAGCAAAGGCAGCAGATGCTCACAACTTCTCGCAGAGCCACTGTTCCAGCTTTTCAGAGCAGAGTGGCTTATGGGCCGGCCTGGTAATGGAGAATGAGACAGAGCTAGTTGGTCAGCTGGAGCTTAGCTCAAATTTCCATCTAACTTTGTCCCCAAGAGGGCTGATGTGGAAGAGTGTGGATAACAATTACAGAAAGACTTTCCCAGCTAGATGGCAAGGGACCCTGAGCTGCCTAATGGGATAACGTCCATACTCCCAAAGTCAAGAAAACTGTAGGGATAAAAAAGATGTACAATGATGCCTAGGGCTTGCTTTAGGGTCTAGAACTAAACAAGTAGAATTAGATGTTCAAGGTCAGGTGAAAGGAGGACTGGATATCAGCCCTCCATTAGGGAGCCCCTTATTAGGAAAGTTGCTAGACAGGAATGGAGCAGGGGAAGCTTAAGAGTTGGAGAGCTGAATCGGCTTAATGAGGTCTCTTTTGGAGATTGTATTCTAGAGTAAATGACAGACTGAGAGAGAGAAAGAGAAATGGCAATGGTGCTAGGGCTAACGGGGTGAGGAAAAGGAGGGAATGGGGAAGTAAAAAATAAAATGGGGATTTACCAGTAGCCAATTCCTTCACTATCCAGGATCTTCTTGGCACATATCATGTCATCAGTAAGGTCATCATCCAGGAACTCTAGCAGGAGTTTCAGGGGAAAGAATAAAGGAGCTAAGAAGTATTACCCAGAAGGGTGATGAGTTTCCCTCTTCCCTAGATCCACTGGCTCTTGTTCTTCTCTGAACTGAAGGCTTATGCCTGTTGTCTTTCTATATGAGAAGGTCAATATGGTAATGCTTCCTTCTGGGTAGAAACTCCCTCCACATCCCTCGGAAGTCTTTGGAAGAGTCATCAATTGATTTGACCTGAAAATACCCTGAAATACCAGGGTTTAAGACTCCCAGAAAGCTCGGGTTGCCTACCCTTGAACCTCAGGGGATTGTCTGGGATTTGGTAATCATGAAAAAATTCAAACAGCTTTTTACTCAGCACTGCCAATTCAAGTCCTGCAGTTGATGTGGAGTTCAGCCAAGGCAGAGAGACAAGAGATGTGCTTGACACAGAAAAGGAAATTATCCCAGCGGCAAGCTTCAGAAAAACAGAGGAACAAGGTAAAACTGGCTACTCACTGTCACAGGAGATGTCACAGGTGTTCTTTGACTGAGGAATCTGGTGGTCCCTGCACCAATATTTATTACTGATCTGGAAGAGTCCATATTCTGTGCTGCCGTTGTTATCAACTATGGTTTGTGTATCATAACCACTGATATGAAATATGGTACAGATAACTAAGGGAAAGATGGGAAAGAGGTATCACAGAAACGTCCAGGCTCAGTATAAATGAATACCTGTGGTCCCCAGTTAGAAAAAGGCTCTACAGCCAATCTCCAAAGATGGAAAAACACAGAGTACCTTAATGAGATGAGAAGTGTTTCAAAAAGATTCTGACAATGGGAGCAAGGAAAGATAGGAGAAGAAATGAGATAAAAGGCTAAACAGAGAAGCAGAGAAGATAAGATGATTGTTTGGTAATTAAATAAAAGTGGAAGAGAGAAAAGGATGATAGAGGAGAGAATCAGATGGGGAATGGGACAAAGCAAGGGAGCAAGGAACTCACATTCTGGCAAAGTGATGCCTCCATAGCCAGCCATGTCTTTCAGCACCTGGGACAGCTCACATTTTGTAAATTGTTTGGCCTGGATGGCAGGGAACAGTATGCTTACCAGAAGCAGAGGGACAAAGGACATCATTTTGGTTGACTCCAAGGATCTGAAATAGGGTGCCACTCAGCTTCACCTTCTTTTATTCATGAAGAAAGCCTCAGGCGCCCTGGCACCAAGCCCTACATCCAGGAAGAGGATAATGAGAGACTGATCATGCCAAGAAAGAAACTAAACCTGCCAGCTTCCTTCCATAATTTCACACTACTTTTCCTTCCCCTTCTCTCAATCTTTTGTCCATACCAAGTATTGTTTTCTGCCCAGACAGAGTTCCAAGCGTGATCCTGATTACCATTTGGTTTTGTTTATACTTTGTTTCTTGCAGGGTTGGTTCTAGGAAGCAGGATGTGCCCAGCCTACTTCAGGAACAAAGGAGGCCTCAGGGACAATACAAGTGTGACAATCAGAAAATACAGTAAGAGCCCATAGCCAACTCCCCCTTCCCCCTAGAGACATACAGAATGTGAAAAAGGAGTGTATGTCATTATATGCCATGGTCCCAGCATCAGGGCTAGCACTTGTCCAGCTAACCCAGCCATGGAACAAAGCCCAGGGAGAGTCTCTGGTTCATGGCTAACAGCTCAGGAATAGGGATAGAATATGGGAACATATTGAGAATGAGACTATGAGAATCAGATATTACCTGGATCCAGACACTTCCTGCTTAAGGAAAATAGGGAACTTGAAAAGCATGCATGACAACATCTAGCTGTCTTATAGATCATTATCAGGGCCCCCATCACAACCTCGACTACCACAAAATAACCAGATACTACACTGGAGCCCTGGTTGCATAGTGGTTAAGAGCTATGGCTGCTAATCAAAAGGTCAGCAGTTCAAATCCACCAGCTGCTCCTTGGAAACCCTATGGAGGAATTCTACTCCGTCCTGTAGGGTTGCTATGAGTCAGAATCGACTTGACGGCAACAAGTGTGGTGGCGACATTGGCATTGATTAAAACATTATATAAATTCAAGATTAATAACAGGAAACAGATTTGTTCATGGGTGGAGGAGCTCGTAGACAGTCTCAGAGTTTGTCACAGAAGGTTAGAAAAAGGGTGACCTAAGCTAGTGAGAAGGAAAAATCCTTTAAAATTGGACTTTAAGTGTTTTAAGATAGGATCATGATATATCTGGAGCCTATAGAAGTTTCTGAACAGGAATTTTAAGGTAAGTGCCCCTGAGAAGGTAGAGTTGAGGGGACACTAGTTGCTGAATAATTTTTTTAACTTGCTAGCATCAAGCTTCATGTCATGGTGTCAGTAGTGTCTGCCTCCTTCATGCCAGGGCTCATTCTTTTTATCCCAACTCCTAAGCCTGATTTCTTTTACTGCAGTGCATACCTGTCTCAACCAAACTAATTAAGACTTCCAAACTGAAGGTTTTCCAAACTGGTATCTCCCACCACTCTTCAGAGGCAAACTCCTCCCTGTTTAATCCCTTCTTCTGTACCATGAATAACCAGTATGTGATGTGGCATGAGCAAAACTAGTGTGGAGGATCTCAGTGTGCTGAGAGAGATGAGCAGAAAGTCCTAAGAGCAAAGAGATAGATGTTCAGACATACAGTAAAAGTGCTGCCACTGGCTGGATTTCTCCTGTATTCCACCCAGAGACATTGGAAATGTGCACGAAGGACAGAGATAGAAATTCCATCACACTTAGTAAGCTTTGTTGAGAACATGGTTGAGGATGGGAGGATGACTTTGACAATATGAAGCTAGTCCTGAGACTTAGTCTTTTCAATAGTGGAGTCTTGTGTAAAATGCCTTCTGCCCTGGGCTATGGACTAAGTACCTCTGATAGAGTAATATGATGGTCCAGGGTCTCAAGAATCACAGGGACTTTCTCCACTTGCAGCCAAGATGAGACTCGTGGCAGAAGACTGTTTGTCTATCCTTTAGTTGTAACTCTGCCCTTCCCTGTAGGCAATGAAAAGCAGCATCCAGGTCAAGAATCACGACCAAGTGCAGGGAAGAAAACAAACGTGCCTTGAGCAAGAGGAACCATTATTTCCCTAGAAACATTTGTAAAATAGGATATCTGGGAGTCATCTGAAAAAAGATAAAAAACAAAAACAAACCCTTTGCCGATTCCAACTCACAGCAACCCTATAGGACAGAGTAGAACTGCGCTATAGGGTTTCCAAGGAGCAGCTGGTGGATTCAAACTGCTGACCTTTTGGTTAGCAGCTGATCTCTTAACCACTGTGCCACCAGGGCTCCTGGAAAAGAAAAAACAAAGAGGACAGAAGGTGCCTAATAGGAGCAATTACAAACATTTAGAGAAAGATGAAGATTCTTGGAGATGGTTCAAAAAACAACAAACAACGATCACAGCACTGAAAGAGGAAGCGTATGTGAAGACGTGAGTACAGCTAACAGAAGAAAGCGACTGCCAAAATCTCCCTCTCCAGATAGGTTTAGTTAGGGCACTCTGCATGGAGGCTATGATCTGAATCAAGGCGATGAAAGGGTGTTTACAATGCAGTTTCCTGGGCTTTTCAGAAATACACTGGAAAGCTACATTCATTCTCTCAGGCACTGTGGTGAAAATCAGGGTTTCTCAAACCAGGAGTCACCATTTTGAAGGAACTCTAAAAACCAAGGAATCAGGAGCATCTGCTTCAAAACACAGTTGGCAGTAGTCATCTGAAATTGTAGTTTGTAGGTAAGTGGTAGTTTACAGAGAGACCCCAGGCCTAACATTTAAAGTGAACATCCTTCAGGTCCACAATAATATTGATCATTACTTCTAATAGGTAATAGCCTCACCTTGGTCTACTTCCTTCTAATTCCGGTAAATTATCACTAGGCAGACAATGAAGCTAGACTCTGGACTTGAACATTTCAGGTGAATGTTTAACTGAATTGGAGAATTAATTAAAGCAATTAAGATTTGAAGAGAGAGTGCTTCCTATTGGCATTTTTCTTTTTTGGCTGCTTGAGTAAAAGTTTTTGCAAAGTCACTTTACATTATAGATTCACATCCTATATCCACACTGAAGACCTGCTCTCAATTTATAGGGGATTATTTTGAATTGTATTTCTATAACTGCTTTTATGGTTAAATGAACCATTGATACATTTTGAGAATTGAGAATAGTATCAACAAAAAATGTAGATATACAACTGTAAATCAAAACATGAAAATGATTTTAAAATATACTAAGTAAAATTAATTTTATCTTTTTAATTGGCTATCAGCTAAAATTAACTGATACACATGTAATTATCAAAAATGTAATAG